ATCCCTGGTGCGCCATGCATTCCTGGTGCACAATGCCGAGTGATTACAAAGCCTTTGGCATTCCCGAAGCTCTGCATGAGTCACGCTGCCGCATTTTCGGCAATCCATGTGCAATGCTGAGAGGTCAAAAACCCTTTCGAATTCCTGAATTTGGCGAGGGGGCACGGCCTCGGTGCTGCATTTCCACTGAGGCCACCTGCGCATCGTGCCTGTCGTTGCTCTCAGGAACCATGGGGGAGGGAGGGATGGAGGGAGGGAGGGAGGGAGGGAGGGAGGGAGGAACTTGCTTTGGCTTCGCATCTGTGGGCGTTGCGCGCCTCCATAAAGTCAGATTTCAGAGCAAAGGCACACTCCTCCAGCAACTCAACCGGATTGGGTTCCGGAGTCTGACATGGGCTAAGGTGACGTTTGGTGCGTTCTTTTCCAAGGGACCCCCAACGTGGCGCGTCCGTGTTCTCTTTGGACACCACATGTTTTTGGGGGTGCACCAAGCCTCGCAAAGTGAGACAGGCATACGGGTGTCTCTTGTTTTGAGTTGGTACCCCTGCTCTGTGGTTTCAAAGGGAAAGCAACAGGAAGACCGACATCATTATTTTTTTGGGGGGGGAGGGTGTTGAGGGGTCCAACCTCAAAAAAAAATGGCACACCCATCAAACAGGACCCCTGAGTGCAACGTCGAACCATAGGTATCCTTCTGGGAAAATAGATGGCCCTAGACGATTGAATCACCCGGTCACTAGACGATTGAACCACCAGGTCAACCAGGAAGCGCTCCCCTGTTCACCCAATGCAGCCTTTTGGAAAGCCAAAAACCAATCTAAACCAGATTGGACCCCATCTACCCGAGCTAACGGATAAGAAAAGTCCACACCCGCGGCACCCACAGCACCTACGGCGCCCGTCCAGAAAGGCGAAGAGCGCCGACTGGTCCGCGCGGCGGCACCGCAGCGCCACCGGCACCGAAGTCAGCCGCGTGTCGTCGTCGAAGAAGGACACCGCGAAGCGGAGGCAACTGGAAGCCTCCTGGTCGCTGGGCCTCGGGGGAGGAGAGGTGTTTCTTTCTTTGGAGGTGGCACTCTTTCCAGGAGTTGCTTTGCTTTTGAGTTGCTTGGAGTTGTTCTTGGGCTGGAACCTTTCATGTGTGTCTCGTTTGGGCAACCTGCGTAAACCAATCTTCAAAAAGGGTCAGGAGAGGTGTTGCTCCTTTCCAGGAGTTGTTTTGCTTTTGAGTTGTTTGGATTTGTTCTTGGGTTTTGTTGGAGGTGGCACCCTTTTCAGGTTGGGTGGAAGGGAAGCCCAAAGGAAACCGCTGTGTTGTTGGGATTCTTATGTTGACACACATCCGCATCAGGGGACCTCATTGGCTGAAACACTGGAACTGTCATTTACACTAGGTTGAAAGTAGATGGCATAATCCCCATGTAGATGTCGCTGTGGGTCAAAACCCTGTATTTCTGGTGAACGTCAAGATAGGTGGCAAATGGATGTTCATCCACCCCAAAATGGAGCCATAGGTTCTGCCCCGTGGGTAAGGAAAAGGGTAACTAAACCAAGACAGAGGGAAATCGTTCAACTGTACCCTTTTACCTACTTTTACCCGGTTTGAACAGCGTACTTGTTTTGCCGAAGCCCGTTTGGCTTGACGCGTAGTTCTGTTGCTGCAACCATTTCGCTGCAGCCTTTGCCAAATGAAAACGCCCCTCTTGGAAGTTTCTTTGATGACGCTAGTAGTTGTGATGACCCCAACTTTATTTGTTGTCCACGTAAAACCGTCCCAACAGCATTGTTCATGTCCCAAAAGCATGGATTCTCAAACGTCCCAACCAAAGCGTCCATGCCAAACCCTTCCTTTGTTGGGTTCCATTCTCAGAACTCCCTTTCATTCCTGTGTCGCATTTGTTTCTTCCAATCCTTGGGTTCAAAACGCGCCAAAACAAAATGCCCCCCTCCCCCCCCCCCCCTCCCCCCTCCCCCCCTCCCCCCTCCCCTCCCCCCCCCCAGTCCACCCGGCCGGCTCAACGTCTGGGCAAGGCGCGCGCCGTACGAAGCCACGGAGATCATCACGGGGAGCTGAGCCACCGCACCGGGCGCCAGGGAGATGGGCGCCACCGAGGCGCCAAACACCCGGCCCGAGGCATCCTCCAACGGCCGAGAAAAATCGGCGCGGCGCCGAGGCGGGTGGTTTCGCTTTTGCTTTTTTTGTGTGTTTGCCCCGTTTTGTTGGCACCTCGTCTTTTGTGGGGGGAATCGGACCCTCCCCCCAAAAAAATAAGCTCTGGTGATATCCCCAACAGCATGCGGTGCTCTTTAGTCCCGTGGAACCCTCGCGGAACCCTGGTGGAACCCTGGTGGAACCCTCGTGGAACCCTCGTGGAACCTTACCTGAGGGCCGCCCCGAACCACCCCGGAGCCTATCTGGGCTGAGACCCCAAAGCTTTCAGCTGTTGGGGAAAAAGACAGAAAAGAAAAGTGGTTGTCCTTTTGAAGTTCCCCTTGAAAAGCCACAAAAACAGGGTACCCTCAGAAGAAGACGCACCCAGAATAGCGGCCTCGTAATTATATGGATGTTTCTCAAAGGGACCAATTCCTCCAGGTGGTTGATGTTTCCTTTCGGTTTGCCTCCAAAGCCATCCAAAAAGGGGTCCCGACTTTGGAGGCCAGACCCAGTAGGTTGAAGGGGGTGAAAGTGGGCACAAGAGTAGAGTTGGGTGAAAGTAGATAGCACAGCTCCTTGACATAAAGGGAATGGCGCCATCTACTTTCACCCAACTGTAGTAAGTCGGCAGCTTGGGCTTCCCACTTTTACTTTCCCGTTCAGTGGAGTTGACCCTCCGTGGGTTCTAGCCCAGGTGGCACACCACTTGGAAAGTGGCTAAAAGCCCTGGTTTCCAAGGTAAGAGACTTGCTTTGGGGGGGTTAAATAGCTGGGCTGGTCATCCCAAAACCGCATGGGCCGGCTTGGCTTGGCTTGGTGAAAAAAGAATTCAAGTAGAGCCAGCTATCTCCAGATTTGGTTTGGTCGACCTGTTGAACCTCAATTAGGAGGTCAATGATTCCATACGTGGTTGGGTGAAATAAGTTGGGTAAAATCCGTAACGTGGGGCACACCAAATATACATTCAAAGTATGGGTCGAGTGTTCTTCTGCCAACCATCATGGGAATGGGCAGGGTTCCTCAAAAGGAACCATAGCCTTCCGGCACCTGGCTTCTCACATCAGGGCACCCCCCAAATTGTTGGGGTCCTGTTGGTTTCCCTTTAAGCCAACCCCCAAAAAGAATACACCGTCAGCCGTCAGCCGTCGACGCTTTCCCCTTTTAGAGCTACGTCCAGCGGGTTTTTTCGGAGAGGTTCCCGAAGTGGGCTAGTTGGGGGACTTGCCCAGTTGGGGACTTGCAGCCGTCGCCTTGTGTAGGTTTACAACCATAGGCGTCCGTTTTAAGGGAAAATAGACGAGTTTCCCTGGTTTCTGAAACGACGGATCCGTCAACCGATCGGAATCGCATTCCATGTTCTACCAAAGCAACCAAAAAGGACGCCAACCTGGACCCTCAAACTGCCCATAGCAAAATGGAATTCGCCCCCTAACTTTGAGGTTCTAACCCAAGTGCTAAGGGAAATTTGGGGATTTAGGTATGTCAATACCCCGTGGTTGCTCACCCACGGCGAGCCTTTTGCCCCCGCCTCCACCTCTGCTCGCACGCGCCGCCACTCGCTGGTCCCACTCAGCACCCGCAGATCCAAGGGCGCTGGGTCCGCCAGCAGGCGGCCACGTACCAGGTCCGGCAGGTTGGATGACTTCACCTGGGCGTCAGCCGGTGGTTTGAATCTCGGCGACCGTCAAATGTATCTTTTCTCATGGCCTTTCCTTTCCAACAAAAGGACAAGGGTTTTCATCATACAATTATTTGGGGTGCCCCTCTCCAGGGGTGCCCCCCTCCAGGGGTGCCCCCCTCCTTTGCGTTTCACGGGCACCCCAAAAAGCTGCTATTTGCGTACAATTTGCTTGCTAATAGCAAACTATTAGCGCGGACTGGAAGTACTGCTAAAAACACGCTAATAGCAAGCCATTTGTCCTTTGGTTCTGTTGGCACGCTCACACTGCAAAATGGGCCCACACAGTTTTGCCCTGTATACTGTGTAACACAGCCATGCAGCGAAGAGGAGATTGAAAAGTCTGAAGGGAGGCATGCTCAAAACATATATCACGCTGCTCTTCTGCACCCAAACTAACTTGTGTGTTTGGCCTCTGGCTTTCCATTGCGACTATAAGCGAGCATTGCCTCCTGAAATTCAGGTACTCTTTGCAGCACGTTCCGGGACATCTATTTCAATCATTTGCCTAAGCCAGCGAAAAAAAGAAAAAACTGACACTTCTTGTCGTGATGTCGATTCCGGTCAAAACCACCAGAGGGAACATATGTTCCCGTCAGAACCAGGTACAAAACACAAACCTGGAGCGAATGGCTCGCAGAACCCCATCCTCTGCCAAGTCGCCCGGGCGCTCAGCGCCTCCCGCGCCTCCACCACGCAAGCGAAACGCAGGGGCACCTGCGACTGCCCGGGTGCGCCAGGTACTTGGCAGGTGAGCCAGGCTGCGCCGGAAGATTGCTGTTGCAAGTTTAGTGGGGATACTGCTTAGAGGGGTTGGTTTTGTTTGCGTGGTGTTGCTTCTGTGATGTGTTTGTTGCGTGTTGATGAGCTATGGTGTGATTCGGGTTTGTGTTGTAGCGTTTGGCGTGTGCGGGAGTTCCTCCACGACCCAGCACAAGCCCTAAACACAGTGGATGTCACGGAGCCAGAGCCGTCAGTAATCGATGCACTCGGCACTCGGTGCACTCGGTCCACTCGGTGCGTACTCGGTGCAATCGGTGCAATCGGTGCGCACTCGGTGCACTCGGTGCGTACTCGGTGCACTCGGTGCGTACTCGGCGCAATCGGTGCGTACTCGGTGCGCTCGGTGCGTACTCGCTGTGTACTCGGTCCACTCGGTGCGTACTCGGTGCACGCGGTGCGTACGCGGTGCAAACTCGTTGCAATCCGTGCGTACTTGGTGCACTCGGTGCGTACTCGGTGCAATCGGTGCGTACTCGGTGCACTCGGTGCGTACTCGTTGTGTACTCGGTCCACTCGGTGCGTACTCGGTCCACTCGGTGCGTACTCGGTGCAATGTGCACTCGGTGCGTACTCGTTGTGTACTCGGTCCACTCGGTGCGTACTCGGTGCACGCGGTGCGTACGCGGTGCGTACTCGTTGCAACCCGTGCGTACTTGGTGCGCTCGGTGCGTACTCGGTGCAATCGGTGTGTACTCGGTCCACTCGGTGCGTACTCAGTGCAATCGGTGCGTACTCGTTGTGTACTCGGTCCACTCGGTGCGTACTCGGTGCAATCGGTGCGTACTTGGTGCACTCGGTGCGTACTCGGTGCAATCGGTGCGTACTCGGTGCACTCGGTGCGTACTCGGTGCACGCGGTGCGTACGCGGTGCGTACTCGTTGCAATCCGTGCGTACTTGGTGCACTCGGTGCGTACTCGGTGCAATCGGTGCGTACTCGGTGCACTCGGTGCGTACTCGTTGTGCACTCGGTCCACTCGGTGCGTGCTCGGTGCAATCGGTGCGTACTCGCTGCACTCGGTGCGTACTCGTTGTGTACTCGGTCCACTCGGTGTGTACTCGGTGCACGTGGTGCGTAGGCGGTGCGTACTCGTTGCAATCCGTGCGTACTTGGTGCACTCGGTGCGTACTCGGTGCAATCGGTGCGTACTCGGTGCACTCGGTGCGTACTCGTTGTGCACTCGGTCCACTCGGTGCGTGCTCGGTGCAATCGGTGCGTACTCGCTGCACTCGGTGCGTACTCGTTGTGTACTCGGTCCACTCGGTGTGTACTCGGTGCACGTGGTGCGTAGGCGGTGCGTACTCGTTGCAATCCGTGCGTACTTGGTGCACTCGGTGCGTACTCGGTGCAATCGGTGCGTACTCGGTGCACTCGGTGCGTACTCGTTGTGTGCTCGGTCCACTCGGTGCGTGCTCGGTGCAATCGGCGCGTACTCTCTGCGCTCGGTGCGTACTCGTTGTGTACTCGGTCCACTCGGTGCGTACTCGGCGCACGCGGTGCGTAGGCGGCGCGTACTCGTTGCAATCCGTGCGTACTTGGTGCACTCGGTGCATACTCGGTGCAATCGGTGCGTACTCGGTGCACTCGGCGCGTACTCGTTGTGTACTCGGTCCACTCGGTGCGTACTCGGTGCACGCGGTGCGTACGCGGTGCGTACTGGTTGCAATGCGTGCGTACTTGGTGCACTCGGTGCGTACTCGGTGCACTCGGTGCGTGGGGCACTCGGTGCGTACTCGGTGCACTCTGTGCGTACTCCGTGCAGTGCGGACTCGGTGCACTCGGCGCGTACTCGTTGCAATCGGTGCGTACTCGTTGCAATCCGTGCGTACTTGGGGCACTCGGTGCGCACTCGGTGCACTCGGTCAGTACTCGTTGCAATCGGCGCGCACTGGGTCCACTCGGTGCGTACTCGGTGCAATCGGTGCGTACTCGGTGCACTCGGTGCGTACTGGTTGCAATCGGTCGGTCCACTCGGCGCGTACTCAGTGCACTCGGTGCGTACGCGGTGCGTAGTCAGTGCACTCGGTGCGTACTTAGGGCACTCGGTGCGTACTCGGTGCACTCCGTGCGTACTTGTTGCAATCGGTGCGTGCTCGGTCCACTCGGTGCGTACTCGGTGCACTCGGTGCGTACTTATGGCCCTCGCTGCGTACTCGGTGCACTCGGTGCGTACTCGTTGCAATCGGTGCGTACTCGGTGCACTCGCTGCGTACTCGGTGCACTCAGCACTTGGTGCACTCGGTGCGTACTCGGTGCGCTTGGTGCACTCGGTGCACTCGGTGCGTGCTTAGTGCGCAGTCGCTGATTGCGTCCGCAATGCAATGTTGAATATCTATATCTTCTCTACTAGAATCCTTCTACAGCGTTGGTTTTCACATGTAAAACGACAAGTTTGGCAGCCATCCTTTCTTTCCATCGCCCCAACCCTTCCCCCCAACAACATTTCCGCCCACTCGGTTTTGAGGCTTCCAACGACTTTTTGCCTGGTTTCTCCCTATCTCCGACAAAAGCCCGTAGGTACTCAAATTTGCTTTGGTAACGGCCAAACTTTTGATCTATTCGCAAAGCTCTTGGGGACAGAATTTACCCACACCTCCGGCTACCCGCCACCCACCACCCACCACATCACCCACCACCCACCACACCACCCACCACCAACCACCCACCCACCACCAACCACCCACCCACCACCCACCACCCACCACCCACCACCCACCACCCACCAACCCACCACCCACCACCCCCACCACACCACCCGCCACCCACCCACCACCCACCACCCACCACCCACCACCCACCACCCACCACCCACCACCCACCACCCACCACCCACCACCCACCACCCACCACCCACCACCCACCACCCACCACCCACCAACCCACCACCACACCACCCACCACCCCCACCACACCACCCGCCACCCACCCACCACCCACCACCCACCACCCACCACCCACCACCCACCACCCACCGCCCACCGCCCACCGCCCACCGCCCATTATTCATCATCCGTTACTTATTTATTACATCACTCACCACCCACCCACCACCACCCACCACCAACCACCCACCCACCGCCCACCCACCGCCCACCGCCCACCGCCCATTATTCATCATCCGTTACTTATTTATTACATCACTCACCACCCACCCACCACCACCCACCACCAACCACCCACCCACCGCCCACCCACCGCCCACCGCCCACCACCTATCACCCACTACCCACCACCCACCACCCACCACTCACCACTCACCCCGCCCACCACCCACCAACCCACCACACACTACCCACCACCCACCCACCAACCCACCACCCACCACCCACCACCCACCACCACACCCACCACCCGCCACCCACCCACCACACCACCCACCACCCACCCACCGCCCACCGAGCCTTGCCGCGCAGCCGCGAGGCCAGACGGTAGGTGCCCACATTCAGCTCCACCACTGCGGACACCAAGGGGTCCGAGTAGATGTTCCTACAACCAAACGGACTTTGGGGCCTTCCTCACAGATGGCCACTGAAGGGACCTGGAAAATACAAGGTAATTTCAGCTGTTGGGGACCAACATGGACTCAACATAGCCAAGATGGACTACAACAGGACCCAAACCAAAAAATTGTACCGAAAATAACCCAAGACCCTTTTGGACTTCGAAATGGGAATCCCCGAAACGGCAGAAAGAAAACGCCAAGAAGGTCCAAAGGCTTCGCCGAATCCGAGGTTCCCCAGCAAGGGCCCCAGCACGGAGCCGTTGGGGGCTTGCAGCTCGAAGGTGTGGAGGTTTCTGCCTGAAAGCGGGTCTTTCCTTGTGTTGCGGGTACCTGTGGATGGACAGAATCCAACAGCAAAAGGGGTTACTCCACATACTCCTTTCAGAACGAGGCCATTTGATTTGGCAAAACCAGGCCCAATATGTTTGACGTATTGTGGATGGACAGAATCCGTTCGCACCAGGAACTGAAACTACGGGAAACCATAACGTTGGTTGCTATTTACAGGGGAATCGAATCATTCCAGGTAGGTGCTCTTTATTTGAATTTCATTTCTGCCTTAATGCACACCTTTTGGGGTGTGAACTTTTCCAACCACCATCCAGAATCACGAGTCAGCGGTGCCAGTGTTCTCTATGTTGGGACTGTTGGTTTTTCGGACCAGCGTCAGAGACCTTACCCTGGCTGGGGCGTGCGTTGCATGGATTTCGTCCATCCACAGTATTTATTGGTCTTCTTAAAGCCCCAAAAGGACACTGCCAAAAAAGGGGAACCCCTAAAATGGCAACGGCTTCCATGTGTTTCCTTTCCAACCAGAAGGCTGAGTCTTAAGTGGTCGGACCCGACTAAGTGGGCATCAGTTAGTTCGGCGTGTAGGTGCGTCCGACTCCGACTCATAGCCACATTGGCCCATGTCAATCTAAGACTGGGATCACTACCCCAGACCAAAGGATATATAAAGGTTATATATTTTAGGGGTATATATATATATAACACGTTGTAGACTGATATGCCCCAAACATGTTGGCCCTTTCTTGAAACCTGAGGCTTGAAGCCAATGTTCTTTCCCTAGGGTACAAGGCTCTCAAAACAACCCCTTTTTTAATGAAAAGGAAATCCCCCCAAAAAAAAAACACGAGAACCTTGAGATTGTGCGAGCCAACTGAGTAGCCATTTCAGTCACCTTCAAAAAGAATGCACCCCAGCACACTGTTCAAATCCCGCGAAGGACCAGGCGCAGTGCATCCTTTTTCAGCAGGCACCCGTTGTGGGTTGCTTTCAAGGGAACCGAGGCCCACGTTGGGTCCGCCAGGACCGGGGGTTGGTGGGTTTAAGCCAAACTCGCCCAGGAAACCATGCTACCCTCACCAAAAATTCAACCTTCCCAAAAACGAGGTGCGTCCTAAGCAACCAAATTTTGAGACGTCCCGAAACTCCAAAAAGTCGAGACATTGACCCTACGGACCTACCGAACCGATTTTGCCAAGGGGCAGTTGATCCCGTAGACCCCGGGCTCCTTCACCTTGAGATGCCCCACCGTCCAGTACTGCACGTGCAGCACGTCCGAGCTGCCGCCCGTCGGCGGGTGCTGCATCAAGCCTACCAGATGTCCCTTTGGCTGGCCAACCATGGTCCAAGTCTCCCCCCCAACAGGTGACACCCCCAGTTGCTGACTTGAGAAAACCCTTCAGAAGTCTCGTTGGGCCTGGTGCAGCCTTCTTTTGGTTTCACGCCCTGGCCGCCGGAAACCAGGCTTTCTCGCGGGTCTCAACATGCGCCTCGAGATGCCCGCCCTGGCGGGCCGCTGCTTCTCTCTGATCCCCCGCCGGCTGGGCGCCTTTGTTTCTCCGGGGCAGTGCATCCGAAAAACGAAAAATCGCCCTCGAGGAAGCCTTAGAAACCTGGCCGCAGGGAATCCAAACAAACCAGGCCCTCGAGAAAGCCGTGTGTCGGCCCCTGGCATGAATCCAAAACAAAACGCACCAGTTTTGGAGAATGTCAATTCGAAAGAGTTGAAAAAACAAAACACAAAGCGAATGGAACCGGCATGTTTTTCGTTTGGTATCATCACTTGCTCACTCATTTGCCTAGTGGAGATTCCAACATGAGGAAATCCCACAGAAAAGCAGCCAAACAAAAACTCCGGTTGTCCGGTTCCACCAAAAACTGGGGTTCCTGCTTTTGTCAGCCAAAGCCCTGTATATTTTACTGAGCAGCCCCAAGTTAAAGTTTGACAATGCCTACCCTATCTCTCTGGGTTCACCTAAACCCGGAGGACAGGAGGAGACGCATCAAAGGAATCCCCCTTCCGGATGAATCAACCAGACGTTTCGCTTCCGGAGTTGCCATTCTGCAAGTTCAAGCTTCAGTCAGCTTGGAAGAACTAAATCCCTGTGGATGGACAAATCCATGTCGCACCAGAAACTCATGACCCCCACGTGGTTGATAAGCCATGGTAGCTGTTGATCGATTCGCGACATGTTGTCCATCAACAGTATGGTCTAAACCACCTCCTTTTGGCCTTGCGACAGATTATGATTATGTTTGTTTGGTGCCGCCAAAAAATCCAGCAGCATTCCCACAAGAAAAAAAGAAGAAGAAGAAGAAAAAGAAGAAAAAAAAAGACTCGGATCCCGTTCTTCGGATCGCCCGCGGGATCCCCGCCTTGGAAGTTGATATGGTCGAAGGGCAGCTGCACCTCGAGCAGCCGCTGGGGGGGAGCGGAAGTTAAACATGGGGTTCGACCGCGTTCAGCAAATCAGAGAAGCCGGCTAAAGGAACCACAGGGGAGAAAAAGAAGGGCCAAATAGCAACCAAATAGCCGAAGTTGGGCTACTTTCTAGTCAGCTGCATCCATTTGGCCTTTTCTTTTGGGATCAAGGCAACTGGTTGTTTCAACATTGTCCCAGGCCCGTGTTTGCACCTATTGCATTGGGATGGTTTCGAAGGGAAGAGAAAAGGGGAAAGCCTGCCTGCAGTTGTACAAAAATCCTCCAGGGGTAGGCTTGGAAATGTCAGGCCTGGGTCAGGTAGGTGACGTAGAAACCATGATTGATGAAAAAAGTCGTCAAGGTCCATGAGATTCTACACCCGATTACCCTTCAACTGATCCGCTAATATCCTGCAGACCATATCATGATCCACTTCACAACCAGATATTATGAGGCAAACAGCCGCGCTGTGGTACTTCACCATATTCTTAAGCCCCCCTCCAAAGGCTCTCCAAAAACTGTTCGAAGGGGGCTCGCTTGCGAAGGGGCCTCTGCTTGCAATGACAAGCGAGCCCCCCATCCAACATGGAACTCGACCGGAGGAATCCCCATTAGAGAAGCCAAACAGTGACAGTGTTCCTTTAGAAAAACACATGTTCCATGTTAGTTCGAGACCCCCAGATTGCTTAGGAGTGCTGCGAACCATATTTGTTTCCGCCATATTTCCCCTCACCCCCCCCAAGGACACTCTCCTATGTCCGCCAATTACAACAACCCCCCCCCCCAAGGAAAAATCTTCTCCTGCGGACCCTTCGACCCGTCCAACCTCCGCCTTGCGCCCGCCGGAGCTGGCCGCTGCCTCCCGCCAGGCGATGCGGCCGCCGGCCGCGTGCTCCGCAAGGAACTCCTCGCGCGAGGCGATGTCTGCAGCCACCGTGGGTTTCCTTGAGGGGACCTTGCGATTGTGCTTTGTTGTGTATTAGTCTGGCTTGGGGTGTGTCTTTTGGGTGTGTCCTGTGCTAGATTGATTCATAGTTGTTTTGGGGATAAACAAACCAAGCGCGCCTGGCCTTGCCTGGCCGTATGACCTGGCTTACCACCCGTTCATCGTTCGGGCGGTTTGTGGTCTGTAGGGTCTCCGGAGAAAGGCTTGGGCCCCGAAAGCAGCTTCCAAGAGATCTGAGGGCCGCTTCATGGCCTTGGGACTTTCCCAAAAAGATGTGGATGCCTCGAAAGTTCCCCTGCGCTCTTGCCACTCACCTGCCAAAGGAAACCAAACCACGCCCAAGGGAAACCCAAGGAAACTTAAGGGAAGCCAAGAAAAACCATGGGCTTCCGCTCCTGCACCTCCTCATTCTTGCGCTCGAAGAGGCGGTGCACGCCCCCTAAAGGCACCAGGGGGTCCCCGTCGTACTCGGCCTAGCTTCAGGCGTTCCACACCGAGGTCGAAGCAACTGGCACGTTTTCCGGGGTGGGTAAGTACAAATGACCAAACCAAAATGAGCTGGAGGTGCGTCATGGGCTTTCACCCAACTGCAAAAATTGCCTGCAAACATCACCCAAAGAGAAGCACACCTGAAAAACTCTGGACAAGGTGATGTTGAAATCACCCTCAAAACCGCCCCCCTAAGCAACTCTGGGAAGACCTGGGTAGATGGGAGATCAAGACTTACGTCCTTTGAGCATCACCCAAGGGAAGCCCACCCTCATGACAACCACTTGTGACGTGAGCTCAGCCAGGTTGAAAAAATGCAACCCCTGTGGAGGCCAAGCCGGTCAGGTCTTCGCAGCATGAACAAGCACTTGAGGTTGTCTATATTGGTTTGCGTCAAGATCCAAGGCCCTCAAAAAAATTATGGATTTCGGTTTCTTTTTGGATTCCTTTGAAATTACCAAGGGCGCCCCAAAAAACACACACACGCACACACACACACACACACGTAAACTTGAGACTTTAGATTTCTTGGGCGGTCCTCGACAACATATAGCTTTGCTTGTTGCAAGCCGGAATTGAAACCGGATACTCGGGGAGAAAATTCGATTGGGAGTTGATGCTAAGAATTGAGCTCTGCTGAATCAAGCTTCACTGAAACATTTTGGGAACCCTGAAACTCGGCAATTCTCTCTTCAGCACGGTTGTTTTCCAGTCCAGGTTTCAACAGAGAATCCCCAGGTTGCTCCAAACACCCTGGCAGGGTGCTTAGGTAACCAAAGAAACGTAAGCTTTGCGCTTGATATCTGTTAGAGGCGCGAAGCAACCCTAAACCTCTTCCACAAAACAACCCCTTCTGTCCAAATGTGCGAGGAGAAGAAAATGAATGAATAAAAGACCTTACTTGGATGTTCCGCCCAAGTTGGTAAGTGGCGCTTGGCTGAGTTATAACCCACTAACAGGGTTAAGTACTGACTGGGTCGTTTTCCCAAGTACTTAGATGGTCTGGGAATTGGCCAAGCACCCCCCTCCCCCCACTTCTGCATAATGCTTCTGCAAACGGCCATCAGGCGTTTGTGCAGTGCTTGCTAGATGCTGGGTGCGACAAAGACAAGGCAGTTGAGCGATGGCGCCACACCATTGAATGTGGTTTTCAGACTACCGCCATCAGGCAGCCCATGTAAACCCTTCGCCCGTAGGCTGCAAACCATTTAGCCATCACCTTGGTTGATTTTGGAAGGGGAGCAAAAGCTTTTTAAATCTTAGCAGTCAAGTGGTTGGATTTCCCACTCAGCCACAATAAGCAAAAATGTAAAATGCTTCCCAACAACAGGGATCCTTACATTATACACCTGAACATTGCAACTTGTAAATGGTGGTCTCTCTTTATTTTGGTGTTGAAAAAGCCACATGTTTCAAAAGGTTGCAAAATGAATTTCTTTTAAGGAGCCCTGAACAACGCCCCTGTCACCCCCGGCGAGTCGATGATGGATCACTTCCCATCGAGCCTTGCCGGAGGCGAAGGGCCCCAAGCTCCACCTGGGGAGCTTGGAATGAAAAACCCAAGGGGTTGGGTTCTGGGTGCACCTGGGGCTTCGGGCGTAGGGCTTAGGGCTTAGGGGTTGGTTGGATCTTGGTGCAAAGGTTCGAGTGAAAAAAAAAGGAGAAAAAAAAACAGGCATGGGTTTGCGTTTCAGGCGCCTGGGGTACATTCTCCATCTAGGGTTGTATTTTTTCCAGAAAACACCTTGTCATATTCCTCAAGCACATACTCCTGGGTCTTTGAGGCATATGTGAACAACCGAAAGACACGGGGATAACTATAGATGCAACGTGATTTTGCATCTGGCAAAATACCCGAGATTCCCCGCGTAAGGACATTCATCACCTGGCAAGCTCGTTTAGGCCCCAGGTGAGCCCATTATAATTTGTTGCATATACAAATACATACACATATGGCCATGGGGCATAACCTATGGCTCCATTTTGGGGTGGATGAACATCCATTTGCCACCTATCTTGACGTTCACCAGAAATACAGGGTTTTGACCCACAGCCATATTTGTTCATGCAAACCATGTTTGAGGTAGGTGTCCGAGTCCGAGTAGTCTGTTCGGTCAGGTGGTCAGTGTCACGGTGGCGTTCCGATTGTGTCCCGGTGTTCTTGTGATATGATGTGTGCCGGTGGTGGTGTGCACTTCTGGGACATGATGTTGCTGTTGGGTCTGTCGCTGGGTTGCTTACACAGCTTTTGTTTGGGACCATGTCACAAAAAATTACAATTATCCTTGGTTTGTTGCTCAGCTTTCTTTTCCTGCCTTTTGGAACCCCAAATCCACCGAAACTCCCTGAGGCAGGCAACATGGTACACTGCAAAGCTTTGTCCTTCCAGTCACTCCTGACGGTGCTATTGCTTTCTAACTCCAAATTCAGAACCAAACCCAGGCGGCTTGCAGCAGACAGGATATGTGCGAATTGCGCGCTTCTCAATGAGCAAGTTTCTACTTCCCGGGGGTCCGAATGGCAGTAGCGGGGTCGACCAACCTCGCTCTTTTCCGCGGCGCGATGTGTGATCCTTACAACGCGGGGTCACCCTGGGCCATCGAATGGCCTAGCTCCCTCCAGAAAAATGAGTCGAACCCGGTGGATGTCTGGGGCTGTTGTGAGAGCCCTTTTTTCGGATCCTGAGCGACAAGCCCAGACTGGAAACGCTTGCTGATCAGTGGACGAAAACCAAAACTGCAAAAAAAGGACTGACGTTTTAAGGCACCCTCCCGTCCGCTAGCAAACAAACAAACCTGACAAAAGGGGGGGTGTCCTAGTTTGGACCATCTTCCACACGGAATCCGAGCGCTCAGCCAAAGGTCAAGTCGCCACTTCTTCTGGAACCGCGGAAGGACAGCAGCTAGCACCCCATGCGCCAACCAAAGGAGCCGCAGGGCGAACGGCATGGGCCACACCGAATGTGCTCCCAGGTGAACAAAAAACAAACGGCGCACCTTCGGTTGTGACACGGCTTCGACTGTGCTCTTCCGGCGGTGTGTCTTTTGCCAAAAACCCAGAAAGTGCGAGAAGAGCTTTCACGAACCGGTAGGCTGCTGCACACAAGAGTGGCTACAAACGAGGAGCCAATTGAAGTGGCTCATGGTTGCCAGGGTGCTCCCTCCAGTAACCTCTCACAAAAGCAGGTGCATAGAACATAAAATTGTGAGATTCTGCTTTGAAATAATATTGGTGTCCCCTGAAATGATACCTGGTTAGGAGCAATATGTACTAAACCACATGCACAAAGTGGTGCATGTCTAGGTCACTTTCTTTTTTCAAGTCTGTGAGCATGGATTCGAGTCTCCGTGCTTGGTGCGTCGGGAGCAAGGCCTTTCGGTTTTGGTGCTCGACCCCCTCCAGCTACTCACCGCGGTCAAACCTTCGAATGCTTCGGGACCCGAGTGGACACGGGAAAAAAATGTGTTTTTGTTTCAAGCCCACAAACCCCATAGATATATCTATATATATATACATATTATATATATATATATAAATGCTTTTGTCCCCTGTTGAAGTTTAGAGCTCCCCCCCCTCGTCCCGAAACCTACAGATAGATGAATCCGGACATTTCGACCTCACGGTTCGGTTTGGACCGAGCCTGCCGAGCTCTACAGCACAAGGGCGGAGTGGACCTATAGCCTTCTAATGGGCGCTGCGGATTCTAACCCCTGGTTGATTAAAAGGGGGCGTCCCCTTTTAGTGTGGGACTCAGACCGCTTTGTGGGTGACAGCCGCCCTATCGATAAGATTGGACAATCCGGCGCCCCCATTATTCCCTGGGCGGGTTAAGTGGAAATGGTGTTCGAGTAGCGGACTAGACGTTCTTTCTTGCGGCGGCAAACAAAAGTCGAGCTTGCCATGCTAGAAACTCCCAGTGTGGGCCATGGTCGCTGTTCCCTTAAAAGGAATCCTTTCCTCCCATGGTTGTTTGAAATCCCTGGGGTTGATAGGCCATGTCTACAAACCCCAAGTCAAGACGTCTTTTGGCCACTGCCAAAATGTAGAACCGGTCTCCCACCGTTCAGAGGTGGGCAACGAGCGGCAGCCCACTCTTGCGAACAACTTCTAGCGCCTTGCTTCGCGCAGGCCCCCCCTTACTTCCCTTTGCTGAAGTCCCCAGGAAAAATGGGAACATCTGTCCAGTAGTGATCCATTCCCTTTAAAACCAACCGGAGAAATACGAAAAATCCACACGGAAGCATTTGAGCTTCCGGAGAACGGCAACCTGAGAGCACTCCATCAGGCGGGGAGCAGAACTCTCAAGATGGCATGGCAAAATGGGGCTGGTGCTTCCCTAAGGCTTAAAAATGAGACCGAAACGGAAAGCCACCAATTGGTTGGGCCCCCCATTTTCGACACATACCGCGATTTTGCTTCACCGGCCGGCCAATCAATGGACACTTCCCATTTTCTCGTGTGCGTTTCCCTTTTGCGGAGCCGTGCTCGATTGATCGCCCCAAGCCAAACGGGGACAGCCGCAGGCCCACCCAACCCACCCAGCCCTCGCCGGTTCCTTTTCTCACGCGGACACCTCCGTGGACGTCGACCTGGGACTCCGAATCTCAGTGGCTGTTGCCCACCCCCCCCCCCCCCCGCTCCCTGGTTGCTGCCGCACGATGTGTGGTTGAGATACCTGTCTGAGACAGTACCAGTTTGGAACAGACCTTTGAAGCCCGCCGAGAGTTACCTTTGGGTTTCCCGTTGACGCCATTTTAAAGGGGCGGACCTCAAGGACTCACTTTCCTGTATTTCCTTCTTAGACATCGCCCCAGAGATGTACCTAAGGGGAAACCAAAAGGGGACCAACCCAATTGTTTTTTGGATTTCGGCTTCTTTTTTGGTTTCCCCCCCCCAAAAAAAAAAATAAAAAAAAAATAATGATAATAATGATAATAAAGGCCCCCCCCTTCCGAGAAAAAAGAAGAAGAAGAAAAACGCACAAACCCTCCCCCCCCCCCAAAAAAAAAAAGCACCCAAACAAAATGAGAAAAAAAAAGAGCCCGGGCGGTCCCGGTGGTCCCGGGTCCAGGGCCCCCCGGCAGCAGCAGGTTCCGCTTCTCCGAGCCCCGGGGCGCCAGCTCGTCCTCGGAGCTCGGCCCGCCGTGCGCCGAAAGGAGGGGCCCCCGGCCGAAAGGAACGGCCGCGTACCCGGAAGACCTGAGATTCTCCATAAAGGGGGTTTAAACTGAGAAAGATTCTCCCTTGGAATACCCTTCCTGGAGATTATCCAGTAAAAAGGTTAAACTGAAAAAGATTCTCCATTGGTATCTGGCTAAAAACTCGGGGATTCACCCATTGGAAAACCATTCTTCCACTTGCTTCAGCCTGGAAAACAAATACAGTAGTGATAGATTCCCTTTAAAACCGGCAAGGGGAAATAAAAATGTTCTTAAGCAACTGGATGCATTCAAAAGGGTTCATCCATCAAACAAGATTCCCTTCGGGTTAATTCATTCAGTAAAGATTCCCTTATGGATAATCTCAGGCTTAACGGCACCCCACAGCTCCATTGTCCAAGAAAGGCCCTCAGGTCTGATGATTCTCCGGGTCAGATTTTTTCAGCAGGCGTCAGGTATGCCGGAATTGGGTGGCTTGGAGTGAGTGGTTTGGAGATTTGAAGCCTCGGTTCTTGTGGGTAATGGCATATTGGGAAGCCTCCCCCTAAACAACCAACGAATAGGAGGTGTTTTTTTTCCGCCAACCCCGTCTCCTGAAAGGAAGCGCACTGGAAGGCCGGTGATAAGCAGTGCACCTCATGTTTATATTTGGAAAAACAACAAATGAGAGAGACAGAGACAAAGTGGCAGAGAGGGAGGGGGAGAGGGAGGGGGAGAGGAAGAGAGACAGAGGGGGAGAGGGAGAGAGACAAAAGACAAAGAGACCAGGGAGAGGAACTTCTTCAAGCACATTTCCAGCTGAAGTCGCGAATCTGGCTAAAGAACGAGCAACCCCTCCAGCTCCCCCGACTCCGTTCGCGCGGTGTCTGTTGGGCCCGCGGCATCCCGAGGCTCCCGATGGAGGATCTTCACCAAGACGTACCTGCGCTCAACATGGAAAGCCCCCGAACTCTTTGCGAAGCGCTCGGATTGGCATCCGTGGTGTATCTGGGGGTACTTCTTGACACGCTACCCGAAACAATGGCGATGGTGTTCTTGTGGTGTCCCTCCGAAACCGGGGGGGTCCTCCTCCAAAAGCGATGGCTTTGGGCCTTTGGGGGTGCCAATCTGGAGCACCGATTGGCGAAATCCAAGAGGAGCATATGGTTTTTTGGAATCCCGGGTTGATTGCCCAGCTCCGGGGATGTTCCCAACGAGGTTGGGAATAAACAACAACTCGGGCGCAGATGTGGGAGGTCAATTTCAAGGAAGACAGGAAACCAGCTTGAGGGTTCCCCTGTGCAACAAAGCCCGACGGGTGTGTCTTTTGTTTTTTAGTTGCTTTTATTATCTTATTGTAGTTACACTTCTTTTGGGGGCGTACCAAGAGAAGCTTAAAAAAATGGAGAACCAATGTTTTGGGTGGTCCCCAAAAAAAGACGAACCCAAATGGATAACGAAAATCTCCGCCCGGCGCACGTCTTCCAGGGGCCTATCCGATAGCCCAAGGGCTGGATGCGCACCACGTCCCCAAGGCGGCACCTAAGACCCATGACGGCTCCACTGGTAGTCTTACCCAGCCCCAGAAGACCTTTTTCAACAAAAACGACTTGTCTCTCCTGCAAAAAAAGAGGAGGGCTTCAAGCTTCAACCACGACTTTGGGGGGGTTCGTGAAAGTGCAACTCCCTCTCACAGGACAGAATGATCGGCTTCACCAAATGGGATGATTTGGTGGTCTTCCATAAAAAGTCGGCTCTTACGAAAACCAATGGGTGGTTAAAACAAAAACAGAAACAAAGAACAAAAACAAAAACAAAAAGAAGAAAACCGATTGGTATTTGCAAGAAACCTTTTTGTTTGCTGCTTGAGAAAACTGAGATGCTCCAGGGCCCCAAGTCCCGGCTTGGCGCTCCGGCTCCGAGTGCTCGTCGTGGGCCCAAACCTCAGAGATTCGCAGTGAGAGGGCCAGCCCACGCGAGCGAGCGCCCACGAACTCGCACAAAAACCTACGCCCCCCATCCCCTCCCCGCGTGGGGTAGGTCTCAAAGCTGACCCCCAAAAAAAGCGTGGCTTCTTTTTTGCTCCCCTTTTAGAGGGGGAACTCTCAAAACACGTCCGCCGCCATATGTCGACCACGCATTCCTCTGCTCCCGTCACATCCATCCATGGCCAAAATCCCCTGTGCCCGTTGCAGCAGCGGGCCTTCTTGGTGAAGCGGAAGGCCTTCTTGTAGCGCATGACCCACATGTACCTAGCTCACTCACAGCAGGCGGGGTGGCTTTTCTCAAACAAGCCATACCTTCCATGTCCATTCTCAGGGATGCTGCTCCAAACACATGCAAAATCCTATGGCTACAATTGTGGCTTCTGAAGATAACCACCGTTAGACTTTTTGGGTGACCTGTTGAAGGCTCTAACGAAACTTGTTCGGGTGCGTCCTTGGGGCGTTTTCGTGCTCGGCGGCGGTTCGCGACCCACGAAGCGGGGCCCCTTAGCCTCATGTACCCATGGGCCAAGAGCCACTAAAATGGGTGGTGCACCGGGACCCCCCAAAATGGTACCACTGGTTTGGACCCGCCAGGTGTCCTTTTAAACCGCCAGGCCCAAACCTACTTCCCTGCAGAACTCCTGATGGCTCCTTTTGATACCCCCAACTCCTTGGTTCCCTTTCAACAACCAGCTAGACAAGGAAACACAACTCATGGCGAAACAGTCCCCGTCAGCCTCCCGGACAGGCGCACCCGATTTTGCTTTTATGGAACGGGAAACCTCTCCGAATCGCCACACGCCGCCAAGTTTGAACCAACCAACCCGGTGTCGGGCACACCAAGCCAAATTGGACCACACTTTAGCCAATGGATCCACACTAGGTGTATTAAACCCGGCTCCCAGCTATCCGACCCAAAATTTGGACCACACTTTCGCCAACGGACCTGATCTTGAAGAGGGCCACCCCGAAGACTTCGGTGCAAAAAACAAATGCACAAACAGCCCAACGGAACTCCAACTGTTTAAACGGCTGATACAAAGGGGCTAAAAGATTGGAATGGGTTTGCGGGGTGCTTTAAAACGAAGTAAGTCAATGACTTTTGGGATACTAGTCATTCGTCAGCCCCTTGTGTTCTTCGCGTGCGTGGCGAAATGGCGGACCCCCCCCCCCTCCCGAAAATGGGATCCCCTTGGTGTTGACCCACAGCCACATTTATACGAGAGCATGGCTCAGCTCTAAAAAACATGGGACCTTCACTGGCTCGCCTGTCACAAGCCACGCGGATGGACTTTGGGTGCTTGTCATTCATGACGTAGCCTCGTGCCCGGGCGCCGGGGCGCAACTTGTCGACCGGGCTTCCCGTGTTTGCGGGTTGATCTTTGGGAGGAAAATAGCGAACTCGCTTCGCCTACGCGTCTGATTCAAGCCCCCTTTGCTGTGGCTCATTGAGGTCGACCCTCTATTCTCCTACCTAACCAATGGGAAACATGCAACACGGCTTGCCACAAGCGTCCTTCTTGTGTTCCGCCAGCCAAACCAGAGTCAGCCAAAAGTTAGGCCAAGCGGTCCGAAAACGCTAAGCAGTGAAAGATCCACCTGCTTGCACATCTGAATGGGAAACTCCAAGATCTTCCCTACCGGATCCTGACTTGGATTGCTTGTGGGCGGAAACCATCAGTTTGGAAAGGGTTCAAGGGTTGGTCGAATCAAAGAGCGGCCGAGTGTAGCCAGAAACAGAATCAGCACGGGCGGCGAACGGGAACCCTGTGAGAATAGAGCCTCTGCATCCAATTTAAGAGAAGGGATCCGGAGCATTTTTGGGGGAGTTTCACCCAGGCTTTGCTTACATCTCGGGATCCCCAACACAAGAACGGAAAGACTCGCGTCCTTTTCTGGAAAACAACAACCACGCCCGCTAGTTGAAAGAGCCCATCTTTTTCTATTTCTATTTCTATTTCGAAAAGAAAATGCTTGTGCTCTACTTGTTTAAACAGGAAATAAGAGAAGAAAAAGAAGAAGAAAAAAGAAAACTCCCGGCAAGCTCCGGATCGACGCCAGTTTCTCAACTCAGCCCGGGCACCCACCATCTCATTGTTCGGCAGCTTGTTGTTCTTCTCAAAGGTCCGCAGATACCCGGCGGTTTGCCTCCAGAGCTTCGCAGCTTTTTTCGCTCGAGAATTGCAGGGATCTTCGGGGAATCGGCGTGGCAACTCGGATGGGCGGGTTGAAAATTGGAAATTCCTCGGGGCAAAAGGGGTGGGTCTAGCAAGCGCGTATTCTGGGCCTACGCGTATCCTAGGCTTCACCTGGGCTTGTCCTGGGCTTGTCTTAGGCCTCCCAAATCAAAACCTGGTGATTTGATGAGGGTGGTGTTCTGCCCCCTTCAAAGTGAAGGAGCTCCTCTCAAATCGGAAACCGACGGAAAACCAACCTTTAATTTGTTGGTTGAGAAACCTATTTTCTCTATTTGGGGTCCACTCTTTGGGGAGTATTTTGAGAAAGCCTCAAAAAAAATGCCCCAGCTCCATGCCGCTTTGCTGCACACCCCATGCAAAGCCCGCCTTTGCCAGTACTTGTAGTGCCATGCCCGCCGCAGAGGGGACAACAACATGGCGTAAGGCGACTCGCTTCACAGGTGTGACGACGCAAAAACGTTGTCCCGAAAGGAATCCGCCAAAAACCAAATCGCTCAGAAAATAAGCCAAACGGGTCATTCCGACTGATCTGAGTGGACTCGCAGGCACTAAATCGCCCTTGAAAGCAAGTGAGGAGGTGTCTCTGGACAAGCGCTCACCTGCATCTCAGAGTGTGTTTCTGTGCAACCTGCGTCCTCCGCAAGCCACTGAGCCAGGGTAGGCTGGCGAGTAAGAAACTTCGGAGTGTGGCGCTAAGCTATAAGTTCTCGATACCCCGCAAAAGCCACAGCCACAGCAACCAGCTGGTCGCCGCCGCCAACAACAGCAAGCTAGCTAGCAAGCAAGCAAGCAAGCAAACAGACAAAACCAAAGACAAAGACAAAAGCATACAAAACGAACACATTACAGACACAACAAATCAATAGCACAACAAAAAACACAAACACACACACACACACACACAAAAACAAAAAACACCAAGAAAAAAACAAACCAACACAAACAAGCACACACACAAACAAACAAACAAACAAACAAACAAACAAACAAGCAAGCAAGCAAACAAGCAAGCAAGCAAGCAAGCAAACAAACAAACAAACAAACAAACAAACCCACACGTGAGGGCGCGGGCTGCCTTTTGACAAGAAAACCATCGATCTTCACAGCCGGGTGTCCCATGGGTACCATTTTGAGGCAAAACCAACCGGAAACCAGCCAGTTTGTGGCTTCCATTTTGAGACAAACTCTTCAACCAATAAGGCAAACATGTTCTGACAGCGCCCGGTCTCTCTTTCTGTCTCTCTCTCGCTCTCTCTCTCCCTCTCTCTCCCTCTCTCTCTCTCTCTCGCTCTCCTCCCCTCTCTCTCTCTCTCGCTATAAATATATATATATATACGGACCCTGCACCCTTCTTCTTCTTCTTCTTCACGCACTTGTGTCGCATTAGACGTCTCAGCCGTAGGGCACATGAGCATGCACTGCAGATGTTTGCACCACCCATATTTACGTTTGCACAGTCTATTCCTGCGCGTCCAAAGACCTGTTGAATCAGTGTCTTTCGTTGCCTTCCTCCAAATCCCAAACCTAAACTCCCCCTGTGATTCGTCACGGCCCGCGAAAACTGCAGCACAAGAGGGTGACACGGCCGCGAAGCCCCGGCGAACCCAAGAACTGGGCCCAAGAACTGGGTCCTGTTCTCACAACTGCCGGATTTTCTGACCAATGGTCCAATGGGTGACAAGAGGACGCATGTCAATTCATCGGTCAAAGCAAAAAAGAAGAAAAACCTCGAAAAACCACTCATGCTGGAATTGATGGATTCCAGGGTGGATATGCCACCAGTTATGACCATTCGCTTGAAGGAGTTGAGCCCGCCCCTGCTTCAGAATGCGTTTGAACACGGAGGGTTGCCATGGAAAGGGATTGCATACATCGACCATTGGAAGCATCGAAAGGATTGCCGGAATCCCCTGGTGAGCGGAAGGAATCTCAAAGACAGGGTCCTTTCCCCACAAATGCATAAAAACCTGCTCCGAAAGATGGGAAGATTGCTTGGGGAGGAAACCAAATCCGCACAAAAAGATATAACCGCTCTTTTTGTTGGGGGAGAACCACAAAAAGAACTATAGAACCGCTGTTTTGCTGCGTGTTTTTTTTGTTTGGGGGGGGGGGGGGAACCAAGTGCCTTGCCGAATTTCCCTGGAGCTGTGGTTTGCTGGGCAGAAACGTGCCCTGGGCCGAGCTCACTTCTCAGAAGGACTCGGGATCGGCCGGGCCATGGCATCCTGACGAATCGAAAAACCCCACGCAAGGGGCGCAAGGTGTGGGCCACTGTTGAAGGGACCTTCTGGTGGGTTCCATGCTGGTGGAGCCAGGGTATCTGGATATGTATGTACATTATATACATATATATATATGTATATATCTATATAATATATATATATATATATATGTTTAAACATGATTGTACGCAGCTTAACAGTACGTTCCAAGCAAAAGAAGAGCGCGCATGCTGCGTTGACACTTCTCGACCAACTCGACAATGTGGGACCATGGGCGTGTAGTCGAGGCTCATTCGCAGGCTGTTTGAGCGTGATTGCGCCCTTTTGCAGTCAAGAAGTGTTGCATTTGTGTTGGCATGGGTTTCACCTTTGCAAAGCCGAGGTGCGTCGTTAGGGATATTGCAGAACAGAGATCGGAGTGTTTTGTATGGAGCGTCTTTGGATTACACAGGTGCTCGGCTTGAAGATTGAAAATGAGAGGTGTGCTTTGCTCTTGAATTTCCGATCCATGCGCGAAAAGAGCGGGTAGGTCTGCCAACCCTGGATTGAAGATTCGACACTGGGAATCTTCAATCTGCAATCAAAGTGCTTCAAAGTAGAACAACATGCACGCAAACTCAGGTGTAGCAAACCGGAGGAGATCACTCAGAGGTACCGTAGATAACAGCCGGAAATAGCGGCAAGCGTCTGCGGATTGTAGTATAGTGCAGCTCGCTTGCTCACGGCAAGTTGTTTGGCAATGTGTCAAAGCCAGATTGGCGTTGCCTACATGTCCGCTTCAGGCATCACCCCACAAAAAGGGTAGCCAGCCACTTTGAGTTGAGCAACAAAGATATGTTTAACACAACCAAATACAGGGTTGGGAGTAGTTAGGCTCAGCTTGCGCAACACCAAACATCCCGCCGTCCTTTTGGCATTTTGGGCGGACGGGGCGTTCGGGTTCTTTGGTGGACAAGTCTTCGTATGTCCCAAAAAGGTGGACCTTCTTTTTGGTGCTTTGAGGGAAACCAAAGGAAGCTAACCTGTTTCAGGCCGGATCTCATTTTGATCACACTCAGAATGGCAGGCCAAGAGACATCCCACGACACCTGAAGGGAGCTCCATGCTTCCAACTTGCGGTCTCCAAAGGACCCTGGAGAGGCTATGCCGAGCCAGCGCTCCATCGGAGAGAATCCTTCCACCCGATCGAAATCAGCCAGGGGTTTCTGCTTAATCCGGGGCGGTGTTTCAAACGGGAACCAACAAAAATTCGAGTGGGACCGCACCTGTGTTAGAACTAGGAACACATCCAAAATCATTGCCTTCAAACGCATACGTGTGTATAGGTGTACGTAAGTTTGCATGTGTTGGGATAACATGACATGTAGCATTAAATGGTGCGAGCATCTATGTGTACTATGTACACATATACGTAGATATGTAGTTGATAACCAGGGAATAGACATGAGGCAAATTTACGAGTACTAAGGCCCCTGACTGTGACACAAGCCTAGCGCATTTCCGCTCGCCGTCGGCCCGTCGGCCCGTCGGCCGTGCGGGTCCCTCCCCTGGGCCCTGCACATGCACGAGGCGAGGAGTCGGGCATTGCCTCCCGGCTGGGCGAAGCGAAAGACTGCGTGCGAAAGCCAACGGCCTCTGCGACACCTAGAAAGCCAAGTGGCTATGGGTCAAAAAAAGGGCAACCCCGAAATGGCTTGCCCTGGTAAGTGGAAACATGGACCAAAACCTGCGGTCCGATTCCTGGTGGTTTAATTTTGACCCATACCCAAGTGGCCCCATTTCACCCATCTAAGGACACCAAACTGGGCTTTTCTGCCAACTCACTTTGACCGGGTTGGAAGGTCTGGGACAGGCGCCAAAGTCCAGCAACTGTGAGGAACGACCCTCCCACGTTGTGGTTGTCCCGGAATGGCAGACGAGCCAAAGCAAATGATTGGCCTGATACGTTTGGAGGTCGTGCTTCGGAAACCCGCTCTTGCCACTTCCAAGTGAGGCCTGCCACCTGATGATTCCCTTACCCAAGGGTCCTGCGGTTTCCTTCAACCAAGCCCAAAGCTTGACATATGGAGTGCTTAGACCCTCTTGGTATCAAAATCGGGGATTCCCACTGCCTCCTTCTCCCACAAACGGTCCCGCACGTTCGAGAGTTGTCCCTGAAGGTCATACCCTTGCCGCGTTTTCAGGATCTTTTGGAGGGGTTGCTCGCACAGATTGGCTAACTTGCCATTTGTTGGCTCAAAAACAGAATCTGTTTGGATTCAGGCTCAAACAAAATGCGCTACGCCACAGTCTTGACCTCAACTTCGGAAACATGTGCCCCTTGTTTGGTGGCTTTTTCATGGAAGACCAGAAGGACATCTTGGAGGGCCCCCCAAAAAAAGGTCGCGCCACCCCTTTCCCGTGGCCTGCTCTGCGCATGGTGCGGCGGAAAGGTGGGAGTCAATGATCTCAGCGCCTGACGCCCGAGACCAGTGAGAACTTGTCGCGGGCTGAAATGGCTAGGGGAGTGTGTTGGAGTTGGCGTTTAATGGAAACCTGAGGAAACCCGCCATTAGTGGGGGTGCGCGATTTTTTGAGACACGCCCAAAATGAAGGCAGAAAGGGCCCACAGTGAGTTGAGGCAAGCCTTTGGTCTTGCTGCCAATCAGTCGATGACTGCGTTTGTCACAATCGCATAGGCCTACAAGAGGGGGCACCTCCAAATGACGGGATCAGCTTGGATAATTCCTCCAATGCGGGGCAAAACGCTTTTTTTTTTTATGTTTGGCAACTCAGTTGGTTGATCTCAAAATGGCATGCAACATGGGTTTGCGTTGGGGAAAACCACCACGATACCCAGAACCTAACGTCGACCCTGGCTCAATCTGGTGGAGGGGGTGTTCCTCCAGAAAGCTTGTAGTCCATAGGTGATCCTTTGGAAATGAGATAAAACCAATCTAGGTAAACCAGCGCCATCCATTTCTGACCAAATCAAATTCCAAAAGGACGCCTATGCTGTCGTTCCCTTTGCGGTTTGGGCTAGAAGTGCAACCGCACCCACCCTGCTGCCAGCACCCATCTCGCCGGAACCCGAACCGCGGTTCGCAAAACGAGGGCGCTAGCCCTGAACCGCGGTTCGGATATGTGGAACAGGGGGACCCCAAACATCTTGGAGAAAAGGCCAAAAGAAAAGAAGAAGAAAAAAAAAAAACGTGGGGTGATATCTGACCAAGCACATCGTGGTTTCTAAAAAAACCCACATACACATGTGTTCGAACGGTTTCAAGGGAAACCATACACCGAATGGAAAAAAACACGAAGGGTTTCAAGGCCGCCGCCTGCTTCTGCTGCGCCCTCCGGATGAGGAGCTCCATGCAGATGAGGAAGCGCTGGGACACCTCTTCTGGACAAGAGCGCTCGCTGCTGATCGAGCCGGCGCGGCGTTGGGGCCAGGTGGGCTTCCCTTGAGAAGAGGTGGGGAAATACAGATCTGGAGCGGTGGAGGTTAAAGTTTGCCCCTAGCACTTCACTGAGCTTCCCCCCACTCACAGGTGACACCTGGCCATGGGTCAAAGTCCAAATCGGTTAGCCCCCAAACATCCGATTCAATCCAACCACTAAAAGAAATTGACCAAAAAATGAGTGGTGCACCGGGACCCCCAAAATGGGATCCCATTGGTTTTGACCCACAGCCATCTGGGGAAACAAAGGGGAAACTTAGGGGTTTGAAGGAGGCTGGGGAATGCAGATCAAGTTCCTGGGTGTCCCTGGGGCTTCCTTGGATCGGCTTCAATTCTCCCTTAGGCGCTGTTGACCCTCTGCAAAAAGTGTTTCACGTTTTCGTGGGTTCAACAGAAACCCCTTGATGGTGCAAAAAGCTAAAGTATAAAGATCCAACGCAACAGCAACCAAGACATGTCTGTCTTTGATGCTTTAGAGGGAGCCCTCTTTGCAAGAATGCCAGAAGACCACCTTGATCCGTTTCCCAAGACCGGAAAGCGGCATCCCCTTCGGGAGTCCCAAACGGCCATCCTTGGGCTAGGAGAGGCTCCGCCGGCTTAGAACCAAATTGGAAGCAGTTGCTAGGAGTCCTTTCCTACTAGGTCCTAGAGAGCTTAGAACCCTTTGTTCTGTAGCCTATTTCAGTACAGGAACGCTGCCCCAAAAAAGAAACGGGGACCTTTCACCTATTCTTCTTTGATGTTTCTTGGAACCGAAGTCCATGAAGTCCATGAGGTCCATTCCCATGAAGTTCATCCATCAGGACGGGTCCCTCCCACGCTCGTTTTCTCGTCTCATCGGACCGGACTCGCGACTCCTCGCCCGCCTGGAGCTCCTTGAAGACAAAGGCCAGCTTCCGGCGCATGAACTCCACCACCACGATTTGCTGGCGCCGCGCCAAGCGGAGGAAAAGTGGTCGCCACCGGAGTGGGAGGAAATGGAACCAGCAAAAAGGCGGGGGGGGTGGGGGAAAAATGGGTTTTCAGGTGGGACATTGCAAAACATGGAAAGTTTCAGTGGGACATGGCGACACGTGGAAAGGCCCCTTTTTGTGAGAGTTCCTCCACTGCAAAGTGGATTGCTCCCATAATTATGGCTCGTAACATCTACGAACTGCCACTGTAAGTCGGGGTCCCAAGAGTATCAAAAATAGGATTCACGTCCGTATGGCAACTGTGTCACTTTAAAGTGGCAACCTACACCCTATTTGGGGTGTGTTTTTGAGGGTACCCTTTTCTGGTTGAACCTTGAAAGGGACAAGGGAAACCAACGAGAAAAAACTGCCTTTCATGTCCCCCCGGAACGGCTTTGCCCGTGAACATCCATCCAATTTGCGCGGGTGAGGCACCGTGAGAAGAGTGAGGATTGTCTGCACTCCAATGGAAATCCTGACATACAAGTCTTGGAAGACGACTTTCCTAGGGACGGCCGCTCTCTCTACTTTCATTGGAAAGAGGGTGCCGGTCGTCACTCTTTCGCTTGCCGTAAATAGGACCATGTCAACTGCTCGACGAGTCGCGAGAAAGCCGTTTTTTCGTTGCCAAGGCGCACCCGTCAACTGCGATCCGTCTGTGCGATCGGCCATCGATTTTGTGGGCCATCCAAAAGACTCGGCTACGCATCTGAACCAATTTGCTTCGGGGTCCAAAAGCCCAGGCTTCAAAGGGCCGTGCTCCCGTTCCTTGAGAAACAGATGGCTTGGTCTCTTTTGAGGGAACCCTCCCAAGAGTAGTTTCCCTTTTCCCTTTAAAACAACCTCAAAGCAGGTACCATTAAATTGCCAATATGACATCCGCCTGTCAGAGCCACCGCGCAACGACGCAACGAGCCAACTCGCAAAGCCCATCATGTCAAATGGCCATAAGCCTCCCGTGGACATCGGCTCTACGTGACCATGTGCCCTTTGATTCGGGTACCCTCGTCAAATGCGTTCAAAGGGAACCAACAGGCCAGGGCCACCACCAATTTGGAAACGGGTGCCCCAATTTTGAAAAACATGGTCACAAACCTTGGCTAGGTTGCTTCTGGTTTAATACGGAAAACCCATTAGTTGGCAAAAGGCTAAAGTCCTAACATCCAAGCAAAATGCACAAAGTTGGATGGAAGCAAGACTCTCAGCTTCCACTCCCCTGCTCCTCCGCATTCATCGAGCTGCCAGGAAGCGGCGTCCCCGCCGCGTACCTGAAGCCCCTGCCATCTAGGACGCCATGTGAGCCGCAATCAAAACCCGGGTAGATGAAGGTAAGGGACCATCCCAGCCATAAATAGCTGCGGCCGCCTTCGTATTTCCTCACATGGTTCTGGGTCAACCATTTTAATACCGGGTTTTGATTGGAACTCATGTGAAAGACCCCCCTTTCTGTGACGCCATGTTTATCTGGGACATTCTCGCAACTACTTCAAAGTCACAAAAGCGAGCGGACGGGGAATTCTCTTGGAGCCCCCATGCAAAGTGAATCTTTCGGTGCCCTGAACTGAACCCTCGCCAAACGCTCGAATCAAGTTGTGAGACAAGCCCAGCAAAATCCGAGAAAGGAATGGCTGCTCCATGTCGCGGACGAGCGATTGCTTAAGAAAACACAAGCGATTTCTCATTTTGCCAGGCGGCAAGGTTGCAGTATTTAAAGGCATGTACGCTTAGAGAACTGAGTCTTGTTGCCATAGCGCCACAGGGAAGCTCGCAAATACATTCAGAATGGCAGCCCAACTTAAATGACGACGGTTCAAATCTGCAAAAGCGGGGTCACCACTTGTCATCGTTCTTGACGATGCGATACACCTTGGACACATTGGTCAAAGGGAACTCGATGATGCGGCCTCAGGCAGGAGGACACGAGGGCTGAGGGCACAGCAAGGATCCGCTCAGCAAAGGAAGGCATGCAAAGAAACAGGAAAACCCCAAACTACCTCATCTAGTGAACATTGAAATGTGGAGGGTTATGTCGAAAAAGGTCGCAGCAAAAACGCCATCTGTAGAGGAATGTTCTTCCGTGACCCCTTTTTCAGGTTTGTGTGAGTTGGCAAGCCAGTGTGAAGGTATCAAAATGAGGAACGTCCCTCTCGTGTTTAATGGCATTATATGAAGGGACCTGCCACAAGCACCATTTGGCTGCTTCCAAACACCTGTTGGACCCTTTGAACGGTGTTCGATGTAAAACAACAGGAAGCAGCAAGGACCTGTCTTGGCTGATACGTTTTTCTCGCTCATATTTGCCCCACACCCGCCACACACTCTCCCTCTCTCTCACCGACATCCAAACCCCCCCTTGCTGGCGCAAGAAAACGCCCGCAATGATTCCTCTGGCTTGGCGCAGTGAAGTGAATCGACAAGCCAAAGCGGCTGCCAAGACAGAAAGCTTCTGGACGTCCGTATGAGTTGCCGCCGAGCAGCCATTACTTTGATCCAGCTTGAGAGTGGTCAAGTCCTGCCAGTGACTTGTTGCAGCCCGAAAGAATCAAACAGCCCGTTAAACTGACCTAGGCTTGGGTTCCGTTCCCATTGGTTGTGTTCCTTTCTTATTGGGCAACTCGCTTTAAGTCGACTGCATCTCCAAGATAATCCCCCCCCCCCCCCCGGCAAGGTGGCGAGTAGTTTCACGTTTTGAGACATACCCGGCGAGGTGTCCAAGCCCCACGTTTTTGGGATGTGCTCAAAGGGAAACCAAAAGGAGACCAACCATTTCTACGGAGCTTCCCCACTGTTTCCAAATCCCTGAAATGGTTGGTTGCATTGTGGTGTCTCCTAATACCAACCAACAGGGGGGGGGAACACCACCCTATTGAGACCCCCCCCCCCCCAACAGGGCGCCAGTCCTTGCCCTCAAAACAAAAGGGCGAATGGGGGGTCTCAAAATTCTCACCCAAATGAGGGGGTTGGGTTGGCCTTTAAAATCACCACAAAAAGGATACCCTCAGAAGAAAACACACTCAAGCGGATCCTGGTTTGTTTCGGGGGGGGGGGGAACACCACCCTATTGAGAACCCCCCCCCCAACAGAGCGCCCCTTCCGGATTATCTCCGTGTGCTATGAAATAGAGTCCTTGCCCTCAAAACAAAAGGGCGAATGGGGGGTCGCAAAATTATCACCCAACTGAGCAGGTTGGGTTTGCCTTTAAAAACACCACAACAAGGGTACCTTCAGAAGAAGACACACTCAAGGGGATCCTGGTTTGTTTCACCCCAAACTTGTTTGTTTTTACATGAGTGCGTGAGAGTGGATGGTGGATTTGTTTTCCCAAAAAGTTGGGACATTGATTTCTCCCTCCCCAAAGAAAAGAAAAAACAAAAAACGGCGGGAGGGGTCGACCAAAAAATGGGCCCTCCCTGGCGCTTCTGGCCGAAGCAAACCAATCAGAACCCCCCCACGACCGCCCCCCCCCCCCCCGCATCAAGACCTGTGCTCTGCTGTTGGCTCATTTTGGCTCTAACTTCCCAACCTCTGATGCGTTTCAGTTGCTCCATGCTTGCAGCCCCCGCTTAAAGAAAAGAAACGTCAAAACAATACACCGCAGAAAGAACATCGAAGAAGAGGCTCCTGGAAAACATTTGGAAAGTTGGAGAAGCCCTCACCTCCTGAACCCCTTCCTGAACCCCAAACACTATGACAAAGCCCGGAAAAAAGAATTGGCGGTGGGTCAAAAATAGGTACCCAAAATGGAACCCTGGTAAGTGGAAACATGGACCAAAATCAGCGGTTGCCTAGTGGTTTAATGTTAACCCACACCCAATTCTTGCCGGATCCTCCATGAGCTGAACATGAATGTCCGCGTAGTCGCGATTCGACGTGAGCTGCGTCAAGTACATGCCTTGCCCGAAAGGGGTGGAGCATGGTTGGCGCATGGACTTTTCTCTCAGGAGTGTGAGTGGTCAGACCCATCGTTCTTCGAACAAGGCGTAGGTGTTTTCTGCACAAGGAAACAGGAAGCGCCCTCTGGGACTTTTGAAGCTCTCACTACTTGCCACCAGTCCCAAAAGCATGTCTTTTTGTTGCGGGTACCCTTTGTTTGGAAACCAAAAGGCAAACCAACATTTGTTTTGCAGAGCAGGGATTCTAGTAGTGCGCTTTTTGCGCGTTGTGAGGCTTCCAGTTTTCCCATGGGTCAGCCATGTGAGTTGCACTGGATCTAGAAAAATGAAAAGGGCAACAACAAACAAACATGATGTTGAAACTCTTTGGTGCACGACCCATGTTGAAAGAGTTCCGGAAACATGTGTGTTTCTTGTTTTTGCTTTCTCGAGATTTGTTGGCTTTTCTGGATTTCTCGCGGTGTTTTGTTTCGTTTGGGTGTTAGTTTGCTCTGTTGTTTGTTTTTGAGCTTGCTTTGTTGTTGCGGCAAATTGAAAGAAATGGCCAGCTCGTAAAACCTTTCCTTAATCAGTGTAAGAAGATTAAGCTGAAACATCCGTTCAAGTGAAAAAAAAATATATTGAAGCTAACTAGAAGCCAACTTGTCTATCCTTGCCTGGTTCTACGTAAGTCACAATCAAAATCTAATTCAAATCCTACCTAAAAAGTGCTAAACAAGCATGTAAGGTCCATGCTGGAATCTATTTGAATTCTAATTCAACTCCATTGCCAAACAGGAATAAAGGATGCTAAAAGAATTGCAGCGACTCCAGCTTGAAATGAGCGGCAACAACTAGCAGCATGTCACAAAAGTCGAAAGTAGAGGACCCCCTTGAGTGATTCAGGATTACGAACACTCTTCAGCAAAAGATATCGAACTTGCTCAAGATATCAAACCTCAAAATCGCAAAAAACATTGCACTGCCATATTCTCCCAGTCTCGTCTTGTTGTTTTTGTTTTGTGTTTCTCTTTTTTTTCTTTTTGGAGGGGGGGGGCATCCCTTGACAAAAGACACGCCCAGGCGAATTCCAGGCCAAACATCCCGAGCGTCCCTTACACAATGGCCTCGTTTCGATTCACGCAACGAAACGCATCTTCTAGAAACACACGTGTAGACGCACACCTAGGGCCTAGGGCAAAGCGAGATCCCCGCGCTTGCGCAAAGCGAGACAACCAAGCACACCCGCGCAACAAACGCCGCACGGTCTGGCAATGCAACCCGCAAGCCCCCTTTTTCTTGCCCTCGGCCAACGGACCGCCTGTGTTGAGCTCAATGGAGAACTCCCGGTACATCTCCAGCAGCTTCTCCTTTCGCACCTGAAGAGCCGCTCGCAACTGACTCGCGTGCCGAATTTTGGGAGCGAGTCTCTTGGAATGAACCCATGATTGTTCAATCTAAAAAAGACATCCAGACCTCGAAGCATTCGCCGCGTTGCCTAGCATCAACCATAGCCCTGTGAGATTAATTCATGCCTTCCGGAAGCCGAAAGAAGAGCGCGGAAGCCGAAAGCACGCCGCAAATCGGTTTCGGGAAGCCCAAAGAGACTTGCTTAGACTCCCCTCCTTTCCCCCAGACTCCGACCGGAAAACCGCCCCATGTTTGGTGCGGGCTGAGTTCGGGACATGGGTGTGGCTCCAAATGAAACAGCTGGGGATACGCAAGTTTTGAAGAAAAAAAAATGACCGGGGACCCCCAAATTGCACACCCACCTAGAGCTGGACCAGCTGGACAGAAGCCTCTGAAAAGGACAAAAACTCGCCTCCTCCGCCTCCTCCGCACTGACGTTGGGCGGCACAGGGTACCTCCAAAACCAGAGGCTTTTGCGCTGGTGGTCGGGACAAACCCCGCGAAGTCTCCCCCCAAAAGAACAAGGGGACTGACAAAGAGGTGCCAATCTCATAGACTCAAGTCGTTTTCAAAACGAGTTGAAAGCCCAGTTTCGTTGGCTTGCTTTCAAGATCCGATCGCTGGGGTCCGGGGGTTCCCCCACTCAAAACATGACTGCCCCCTGTTCCCCCTCTGATTTTGCGATGCCCTGCAAGAGTTGGGCCAACTCCTTCGAACATGTTGAAACACGTACTACCTGACAACCTCCTTTTGCTTCCCTTGAAAGGCGACCCAGGCGTTTTGGCCCAACCCAACCCTAAAAAACGAAACAAACAAAACCAATGACCAGCACAAAAAGCCAAAAAAACCTTGTGCAAGTCCTACAAATCCCAAAACCCAACCCAAAACAAACACCCCACCAGCTGTTCGGGTTTCGGATCCCACTCTAACCTTCAACCAAGAACTCCCATGGCTTCCCTGACAATAGGGCCCCAAATGCTTTGAGTGATAAGTTGGGGGTTCAACCCCTATCTGACTTCCATCAAAAGAAGAGCCGACAGCTCCCAAACGTGTACTCAACACCCGGTACCATTATTCTTCCACCCGGAACCATCTCAAGAACCCCATGTTGTTTTCTTTTCTTTGCCACTTCTCTCAACAAAAAAAGCAGAAGAGCACGTCCTCTCCCGGCTTTCCGTCTCGACTTCGGAGCCCTGGAGCCCCAAACCCCAAACCCGCGGGGCCCGGGGCCCCGGGCATCTGCAGCGCCGGCAGCTCCAGCTGCTCCCGGAGGTTCTGCTGCCGCGGGGTCATGGGATTGGAGGACCGGCTCCAGCCGAAGATCCGCGGGGTGAAGGTGATGTCGAAGGAGTCCTGGCGGAAAAACGCTCGGCGCGTCCGGCGCTCGGGCGCGCAAGATCGGGCGCTCGGCTGAGGCCAAGAATCGATTAAGGATTCCTGAAACCGGCACTTCAAAAAAGAAAAACGAAAAAAACTGGTACCCCAAATGGAACCCTGATAAACGGAAACAAGGACTAGAACCTGCGCTCTCCTGGTGGTTGAGTTTTGACCCACACCCACTTCTCTGGTTTTGGTGAGTCAGTGTCGGTTTTCTTCTGCTTACTTTCTTGCGGGATTTCTCTTTCTTGATCGGTTTGGGCGGTGTTTGCGTTTGCTGTTGGCTTTCTTGCGGGTCGTGTGTTGGCTTCCTGCGGATTTTGATCAAACCGACCCAAGGAGCCCTGGTTTCCTGAAACCCAAAAAGAATCCCGGGGTCTAAGAACAATATGGCTGGAGGTGCGTGGCGCTGTTGTCTTTTGTTGATGGTTTGTTGTTTTGTTTTTCATATTTTTGACATTTGCATGATGTCTAAGGAGTCCTGACAGAGATTTGTTCGGCTTCCTCGTGTTTGTTGCTCTGGCCGGTTTTGTTGTTTGTGTTCTTCCGATTGACTGCAAGGTTTGTTTGGAGTTAGCGTGTTGTTGGCTTGCTTGTTTTGTTGTCCTCTCTATCGGCGTGGTTGGTTGACCTCTCAATGTGGCTTCGAAAGAGTCCAGCGGATCCTGCGGAACAGTTGCGCTCCTTTCTGTTGTTTGCTGAAGTGGACAAAACAAAAGCAATGTCTGTTTCAAGGTTAATGGCAAAGGACTCCTGGCGGAACAACAAAAACGTGGCCCGAGCTTTTCGAGTGGGCAGTGTCTTCCGTGTGGCAATGATAGAGGGAACCATGTCCTCTCAGTGTCCTCTCAGAGTCCTGGTCAAGCGAGCATGGGGTGTTTTTGCTTGTTGGAGGTTGGTGTTCATTTGGGTTCTTTGTTTCTGTTGCACTTGTTGCCTTTATGTCATGTTGCTGGATGTCTGCTTCTGTGGTACTTGTTGTATTTGTGAAACATCTTGTTTCGAATCGAAGGAGCCCTGATCAAACCGGATGCAAAAATGATGGCAGCTGTGACAACTCGGTGTTGGCCTACCCTCTACACATGTGCTTTGACCTGATTCGCGAGCTTCCTTGTTTCATGTCAACGAGTCCTGGCAAAAACTGTGCGTGGGAGGCTGTGTGTTTATGTTTGGGTGTTGTTTCGGCTTTGTGTTATACCTGTTTTGAGGTTAGCAGCTCCTTTTGCGTCTTGTTGCTTTCCAAGTGTTCGATGTAGGTGTTTGGGCGCCTTTTGAATTGATCATATCATGTCAAAGACGTCCTGGCCGTGCTTTGTTTGTTTGTAGGCTTTGCTTGTGTCTTGCCTTAATATGTTGGTATGCCACTATCCATCATTATGCACTTTTGGTGCTGTTGACAGTAGCTCCTGGCGGAGAATCCCTTAAGCATCTGACTGGAACCACCCCACGCCCGGCCCGAACCAGAGCACAGGTCCACCTGCCCAGGCCTGAAGCGTATGCAGCGGCCTCCTTGTGAACGCCTATGTCCCCTTCACACATCACCCAACCAAAGCAAACTCACTTCAAACCAGCCCAAAGGATGACTTTTAAACCAACTCAAAAAGAAAATGTGAGTACCTCCCGTCCCCCCGGAGGAAAACAAAAAAAAGGACGCGTGGCCAGCAAAAAGGAGGATATTTTCTCAAGTACTCAAGACGATGAAGCCCCCCCCCCCTTCTTCCCCCGGAACCAGGGCAGTGCCGCCCCTGAGGTGAGCAGGTGCTTGGCCTGGCTCCGCTCGCTGGGGGGAGGGCTCGAATCGGCCGGGGTGCATGGAAAATGTTCGGTGAGACGCGGGCCCGATTGGTTTAGGTCACTGGGGTCCGTTTTAAGGGATCCGTAGATGTCCAGAACTTCAAAGAACCATAGATATCATCCAAGTGGCACACCTCGTGGTTGCTCCCCCAAAGACTGCCGGGAGGGGGCTCCTGGTTACTCCTCAAAAGACTGCCGGGAGGGGCTCCTTTTTCACACCTCAAACCACAAGAAGCTTGATGCTTTTTTGTATGTTCACTTGGTGAAGCATGTTAGGTTGCACCCTCAAAGACTTTCAGTAGGTCTCCATGCCCACGGTGAAAACGGACTAGGAGGTACGACCTGCAGGAGAAGTTGTTGAGAGCACGGAAATTGTGGACATGGAAGAAGGTGGCTGCAAAATATGCTTTGTGTATCCCAATTGTGGCGCGGACTCACCTGGCCATGAAACTAACCCTGGAACCTGGTAGAAAGCTTTAACCAGCAAAACCTGCGAGCCACCCTTTCCTCTAGCCGGAACAAGTAAACTACAAACCCGTCTTCCACCCTTCCCAAAACCAAACCTGCGATGGTCTTTGACCCCGACCGCAAGTTGTCGATTTCAAGTGGCTAGTCTTCCAACCCGGTCTCCAAGGTTCCGAGCAGGCACAAAAAATGGCGAGCGTCGCTTGGAGTCGTTCCTTCTGAGAGATTGAATGCCCACCCAAAACCACCAACTGCATCGCCCCATACAACTCCTTTTATACTTAAACCCCCCCTTTTCACCCTTAGGGAAGGCATGAACACACCCTGAAAATGGGGCTCCGGGCACTGTGGGCCGGGGCCGGCTCCGAGCTCAACTGCACCTGCTCGGGGATGATCCCCCAATGTTTTTCTTTCTGAATGGAAACCACCCAATTGGCGAATTCCCCCTGTGTTTTTTGGTTCGGATTTTGGTTCTGTGCGGTTCGAGTCTTTTGGACAATAGACGCCCAGCAGTCCGTGTCTGTGTGCGAGTTGGCACTATGATATAGACCGCGGGCCACGTATCCTGGGCTCCCATGACGAGCCACGAGCCGCCCTCAGTCGGATACCGGTGATCTTGGGCATATCATCTTAAAGGACCCATGCCTCCGAAGCAACGCAAAAGACTCAACCTGCATTTCAAAGGATGCCTCAGCCAGCTCACGTCCCCGAACTTCGCTTCTTGGCCCTACAAAGCCTTTCACTCAAAAGAGCTCCCCCTCACAGGGGCCCAAGCCAACAACCTTCATTGGCTTAAACAAGCTGATCATTACCTGAAGGCTGTCTGTCTGGCTTCAACCAACCCTCACACCCCTCCCCCAAAAAATGGAGAAAAGGGGGGGTGGTCTGTTGATGGTCCCCTGTTCTGGTTTTTATGTTAATCTCAAATCTGTGTTCCCCCTTATTCGTTTTGAAAAGGGTGTTTTTGGGAAGCTTATTTATCGTTTTCGTTAAGGTAATCATTTGGGTAATTGCCCCCCTTGTTCATTGCTGGGCTGGGGGCCGACATTTTTTTCATTTGAAAGAGTTAGCCCTTTTAGTAGTTATCAAGTTCTGGGGTGTTGGTGGTGTATTTGTTGTGTTAGTGTTTTCTCACTAATTTTCATTTATAGGTTTAAAAGTTCAGTATAATTATAACATATAAGGTTTTACATGTTATTATTATATTATGATTATAATTTCAGTTCAGGAAAATAATTTAATTGATTATTCTTACTTCTTTCATACATCATTTAAAAAAACTCACTGTATTTTGAACATTAAACTTTTTACTTTCAATAAATAATTTGATATTTTCTTTAACATCTTCTCCTTTCTTTTGACTATAACCCAACATCCATAATATATCATCAATCATTTCATATGTTTCTTACTGATTTTGAAAAAACTGTTTAACATAATCGTAAGGTGGTAGTTTATTTACAATTAGAAATATTAAAATCTCATCTTCTACATTTCTATTATGTATGCTTTTTATTCCCAACAGACATTTGATTAAAAATTGATTATCTCTCCAATTTTTACAATTTTTACATATGTTTTTCTTCACCATCCATTGAATAGTTAATAATATTATTCACTATTTCATTAGGGAAATTCAATTTATACAATTCCATATTTTCTTTTTTGAAGTGACAACAATCATAGCATTGTTTATTGAAATAATTATTGATTTCATCACCGTTCATTTTCCTCTTAATATATAGGGTAATATTTCTTTAAGTAGTTTTGGCTAGGGGGTTGCTGGTCGGCTGGTCTGGGATTCAGGTTTAATTTAAATGTCTGTGTGAGCCAGACCTTGCTGAGCCATTCTCCCCTTAATTGGGGAGTTCAACCCCCTTAATTGGGGAGTTCACCCCCCTTAATTGGGGAGCTCGCCCCCCTTAATTGGGGAGCTCGCCCCCCTTAATTGGGGAGTTCGCCCCCCTTAATTGGGGAGTTCGCCCCCCTTAATTGGGGAGTTTACCCACCGTTTCTCCTTGGTAATCTCCCTATTTGACCCCACGCCGAGGTTGGGAAGACATGCTGACCTTCACCTATGTGACTGTCGCCTTTCAGGTTTTGGTGGTGGGAGGGTTTCCCATAACAAACTCCTAATCACTTGTAATACCCCCCATCAAAAAAAAGCTCCCGAGTTGTATACAACTCATCTTGTTTATGTTTGATTTATCCCTCACCCCAATTTGATTTCTTCCCACTAGGTAGTCGCTGTGCTGTTTCTAAATGCTTCCCATTCCTAATTTGCCCGAGCAACCCGACCAACCGAGCCTATCCCTGAAAATAATTCAAATAATTTCATATTTAGAACTATTTAGATAACTATTTTATGGAGTAATGTCGGGAAGCTCATTAGGCTATTACTTTGTAATAGCGTAATGTCCATAAGGCAGTGAATTGAAAGCATCAATGTAAAACCTTTTATTTTCATAATTACTGAGTGATTGCTTGACTTGAGACATTGAAAATAATTGATGGTTGCGACTACGAATAAAATTATATGTTATTTCATGCTTTTTGGTTTGAAATAATGCTTCGTGGTAGTTTTGGTAAGTCAGCTCTTTCTTCACCTTGTGTTTCACTACACCCTTTGATTTCTTTTGTTTTTCTTCTTCACCGTGTATTGTAAAAGCATACGATTTAGGCTTTAACCCTATGAATTGTGATATTGTTTGACCGTTGCACTCATCCTTGAAATAACCGAGTTTTTTAATTTGTTTTGTCATGGCAGGGGTGTTCAGGTGGATAATCGCTAAAGTCCATATATTGGTTTAATTCTTTGAAGTCCTTGTAGATGTCCTCAGTGACTGTTTGAATTACATAACTGTCAGTATCAGTATAAACCAGTTTGATGTGTTCATTGTATTTCTTCTTAAGAACATCATAGTAGAACTGATACATATGTAATTTACTGATGTCAAGGATTGTCATTCCTAAGAAAATCGGTTTGTCCAGTTTCAGTTTCGCTTTCGTTTTTTCAACTCCTACAAGGTGTTCATTAATAATACATCTATTTTTGAATGTTGGAGTATTAACACATTTTTCATATCTTACCTCATTATCAACTAATTCAAAGTCCATATGATTTCGTTTGTCTTCCATAGTTTTTCCATACACACTATTATTCATTAATTTGAATAAATATTTCTCAAAATCGTTTTTGGCTTCTTTCCTTTTAGCAGTGTTGAAGTCAATCCACGGTTTCAACCATGCCCTGTGTTGAAATGTTATTATCCTATGGACTTTGGTCATTTTCAACCCCATTTTCAAATAATACTGTAAAGTCTTGATATGAACCACATATTTCTCTTTATCCTTTAGATTTAATATTAACTTACTTGTTTTCTCGTCCTTCGGGGTTTTTCCATCATAATATATTTTGAAGACTTGCTTTTGATAATCGGAAAGCATATTCACATTTACATTCATTATTTCAGGTGCTAGTGGATAGTCGGAGTGGAAGTCGTGCAATGTTTCGGGATATTCCAAATCAACTTCCATAATATAACCAAACTCATCGTTTTCATTCCAATTTTCAACACTGGGCGTTGTCTTTGCCCACTTGATATTTTTTAGCGGTAACTTCTGGGACATTGCTAAACCATACAAGTTATTAGCACCCAAGTAACTAATATAATTTGATGGCTTGTTCTCATCATATGCTTCCCACATATACTTCTTGGTCATGCAATTGTTCTATTTCAACACAAGTTTTTTGAAGCATCGCGTCCCAAGCAAAATTTCGTAACGTATAATAATGAGCGGGGTCTAAACCGTAGTATTCCATACACAAGTCTCTAAAGTTTTCAAATACATCGGTCAGTAGTAAAACATCAGTTCTTAAATACAGGTCGTGATACTGCCCGAGTGTTCTAATCCCGAAGTGCTTCCATACTTTCCATGCCCTTTCATAATCTTTATCACTTACATGTTCTTCACTCAATTTACTGTAAAACGCTTCTTTCGGTGGTAAAGCCCTTTCCTTAAATCTTTCAAAATCATCAACGTAGTCATAGGGATAAATAAATCTTCATCGGTTTTAACATACGGGTTTCTAACGCTGTATCTGAAATTGTTCTTCCAATTCTCACGCTTTTTATCATCCTCATATTTACTCAACTTCACCAACTTATCCAACGAAGACGATAAGAAACTGAAACTGTCCTTGAAACAAAGATTTTTAAAACCAAAGGTTATAAACTTTTCGCTGGTCTGAGCGATACATTCTATTTTAGAATTCTTGTTCAGTTCGTGAGCCTTGTTGATGATTAAGTGGGCATCATAGTTTTTAAGGTTATGAAGAAACACTGGGATTTTATAATATCTCATACTAAAACCAAGATTACAATCATCGTGGGCGCATCCTCTGTAAGCTCCAGTAAAGTGACAATGGTCTCGAACCTTCTTGTCCTCAGGTTTAAAATATTTCCACAGATAAAGCAAGTAGTAGCATTTTCAAAATCTTCCTTGTCCTTTTCAGTCATGATTATCTCTTTTACTTCCTTCATCCTACTAATAATATCTTCTCTGACTTCATTGATTTTTTCAACACTTATCCATACAATCTTCACCTCTATATAAGTAAGGCTCACTACTTCCGGTTATAGCATTGACTACATTAATCATAAAACCACACGGACGATGATTTTGATATGATGTAGTTTTAGCTTTTGCCGATTTGCTTTTAACATCAATTGGCACAGTTAAACATTCAAAGTCGGCATAGATTACGAAGGGTGCTTTAAGTTTCTTGAAATGGTTATTGAATTCTATTGTTTCGCCTGCTTTTGGCATTTCTACTTTTTGACCCTCAACTGCTAGACATCCCTGTTCTTCGTGTTGTTTCAACAATTCTTCTGATTGAAAACCATGAGAGCAGGTTCTACAATGATACTGTTTAACTTTCTTTTTGTTAGTCTGACTACTCATTAACTTATCGTAATTTTTGATATAAGCGTAATGCGATTTAACTTCATCAGTCAATTTAATCAAATCGATTTTGTGTTTCGCTTGTGGGTTGTTGCTTCTTTTGTATAATAAAATAGTTTTACTATTCGTATCGAGGTGTATGTAATAAACATTGACCGATATGTGTTTGTTCTGTTCTTCAAATAGTTCAATCTCATCATTACCTACTGGAAAGTCAATATTATCCCACTTGATGAAAGTATCATTAACATATTTCTTATAATGCTACATGTTGCAGGGATGGCATTTTTTGTATAACTCATAAAATCCGCATTGAGCGGAATATTTAAAACATAAGTCGTCCTCATTTTCAATATTAATACAAGCCTTTTTGTTTGCCACCCAGTCGGGTAATGGAATGAATGATGAACCACGG